TTCTGGCAGCTTGGTTACCGTGGGCAACAGGGCCTAGTCACTTCCCTCACTCTACCCCATTATTCCACGTCTAGAATCAGAACGATGGGAGGAGCCGGCCGGGTGGCCTTTCTCCTCCCCACGCAGTGTCCTCCGGGAACAAGAGCCCCTGTTTGTTTGTTTTTGTGGCCAATTCAAGGTTTTGACGCTCTGAATTATCGTGATCAAGAAGGGCTCAGCAACTGAGCCGAATCCAGCCCCTGTCACTACTCCCTTCCACCATGTGGGGATATTGCTTAGACGCAGCCGTATCTCTGGCCAGCTGAGGGGCTTGACACGCTGAGGGGCTATTGTGACACCACGGTGTCATCCACCCCTTATGTTTAAAGGCTCCAGTTATGGCCCCCGGCTAGCGCACTGGTTCAAGACACTGAGTAGCTGTCATGAGGACTGCCACCCTCCAAGTGGGACCTGAAGAGCGGCTGCTATTGCCACTAATCTCCAGACGACCAAGATGGCTGTTGGGGCAGGTGGACTCTCCGGCGTCGTACCCTGCTGAGGCCCTTCCCCTCCCCAAACCCCACCCTCCTCAGGCTCCATTCCCCCAAATCTCCAGGTATGTCCCAACCCAGAGCTGGCAACCCTATGGGATCATTAGAGAGTAAAGGCAGTCAGTGGAGGTCTTTGGGCCCAGTGTGGGTGGCCAGACTCCAGGTGGGGTGTGGAGGTCTCCCAGAATTCCAGCTAATCTCCAGACGACAGAAATCAGGTGTCCTGGAAAAAATGGCTTCCTTGGAGTGTGGACTTGGAATTCACTGCCGCAGGAGGTGGCGGCGGCTACAAGCATGGACGGCTTCAAAAGGGAATTAGATAAGCATATGGAGCAGAGGTCCATCAGTGGCTATTAGCCACAAGGTATAGATAGGGGCTCTGGGGCAAGTGATGCTCTGTCCTCTTGGTGCTTGGGGGGGGGGGTCAACAGTGGGAGGGCTTCTAGTGTCCTGGCCCCACTGGTGGACCTCCTGATGGCACCTGGTATTTCTGGCCACTGTGTGACACAGAGTGTTGGACTGGATGGGCCTTTGGCCTGATCCAACATTGGCGTCTCTTATGTTCTTATGTTCTTATGACTGTGTGGCATCATATCCTAGTGAAGTCTCCCCCCCCCCCCCAGCTCTCCCCAGGTTCCACCCTGAAATCTCCAGGAATTTCTCAACACGGAGTTGGCAACCCTAGGCCCGGTCCATACCCATGGGAAGGGACAGCTGGCCTAGTGGTTTCCAACTAAAGGCAAGAGATAAAAGGAGAAAGCGGTCTTTGGGAGAATAGAAATTTCTGACTGGCTTTCACCTGCTGAATAATGCACTTTGCAAACAGATACGTGGAGTGGGGAAATCCACTTGCAAACGATCGTTCAAGTGGACTGAAAGTGGACTGAAAGTGAATTATTTATCATGTGTGAAAGTGCCCTAAATGAGACCTGGATGCCAACAGCCATTAGACCAGTGGAGTAAGGCCAGGGAGAGACCCAGGTTCGACCCTCTGCTCCTGTTTCTATAAAAGGAATAGACTTGTAGTTTTAAGGACTGAAAAATGTATATGGTTTGTTTTGCTTATTGGATGCATTACAGTTTTTCTGTTTCAACTTTCTATCATTGTAATCCAGTTTTATTTCACTGTTTGTATCTGTGGATTTTGCCCATCTTTATAGCATTGTCTTCTGGTTCTGTAACCTACCTTGAGTCTCAAAGAACAAAGGCGGACTACAAATGAAATAAGGGGACAAATCAGTACATGAAATTCATACATGGGGTGACCTTCAGCCAGTCAGCCTACCTAACCTCACAAGGTTGTTAAGAGGAGACCCATGCGCACTATCCTGAGCTCCTTGGAAAAAGGAAGAGGGAAATTACAAGGTATAGAGGCCCTTTCCTTGCATGCTACCATTTTCAGAGGTAAAGTGGATGGTGGCCAGAGACAGGGCTTTTTCCATGGTGACACCTTGACTATGGAATTCCCTCCCCAAAGTAGGTTGCCCATTATTCTCTATGTGCCAGGTGAAACCATTCACCCAGCCATTCTGTTGACCAGTGTAATTGTGTAAATGAGGGATTGGGGCTGGGGGGAGGTGGCCAATAACAGCCTGCGTTCTGCTATCCTCCATTAGGAGGAGAAGGATGAGGAGGTTAGATTTATACCCCACCCTTCACTTGGAGTCTTAGAGCAGTTTACAATCTCCTTTCCCTTCCCCACTCCATAACAGACACCTTGTGAGGTAGGTGGGACTGAGAGCACTCTTTCGAGAACTGCTCTTGAATGAACAGCTCTGAGAGAACTTGTGACTGACCCAAGGTCACACCAGCAGCTGCATGTGGAGGAGTGTGGAATCAAACCCGTTTCCCCCAGATTAGAGTCCACACTCCTAACCACTATACCAAACTGCCTCTGTATTACTACCTCTGATCAGAATCTATACTTTTTCACCTGCTGTACTAGTTTAATCAGTTGCCTAGACAGGTCCTTTTCTACAATGCTGCCATCATGCATTATCTCTTTGCCTGTGCATGTGTGCAAACTGGTTCTCTCTCAGAATAAGAGTCAGTACGGTGTAGTGGTTAGAAGCACAGCCTCCAGAGACGACTGAACACCTAGGTACATAAGGGGCAAGTCCTTCAGGTGTGCTGGTCCCAGGCCGTACAGGGCTTTTAAAAGTCTGTACCAGAACCTTGAATTGAGGCCAGAAGCAAATTGGAAGCCAGCGTAGATGGGGAAAGACTGAAAACATATGGTCCCTGCAACCCACTCCCGTCAACGCTCCAGTCACTGTGCCAACTGTAGCTTCCGGACAGTTATGCTATTGGACTGCATTTTTTTACACTGTGTAATCCACCATGAATTTCCATAAGAAAGGCAGGTAATCAGTCAGTCAACACAAGTGCACTGGTTGTGCAAATCTATGCAGAGTTTGTGGTGGTGGAAAGTGCTGTCAAGTCACAGCTGACTTCGGGTTTTCAAGGCAAGAGATGTTCAGGAGTAGTTTGCCATTGCCTGCCTTAGCATTATACCAGTATAAACCCATTGATTCTAGTAGTCTTAGACTGGGTTAACTCTGCCCAGGACTGCTCTATGAGTTAGGAGCAGGGAAGCCACATGCACAACCTCAGGTTTCTGAGGAACAGTAAGACATTGTATTGTATGTACTCAAGTGCAAGACTAGTTCCCCCCCACCCACCACGGTATGCTGTTAAAAAAAGAGAGTGCCGTCTTAAATTCACATGTCCATTAATATAATAGTTTTGTGTATAATATTTTTGGAGGAGAATCATCTTACATCCAGGGTCGTCTTCCTTTGAGTAAATTTGGGTAGACAGACAGACAATCGGAGAAAGCTATTTTGACTATCTGTATCCTGAACAACTATGCCGTACTGCCTTTTTATTATTTTAGTGGTAATTTTTTTTAAAAAAAAATCTAATCCGCACCCTGGTATCTCCCCCCTTGTTGGGAAAAAAAGAGAGAAGCTAACAGCTTCAAACCCAGACAACAGTGAAAGTCCTAGAACTCAGTTCGAACATTGGCTGGCAAACACCCTGCCCAGAAGCAAAAGTGAAAGGATTTCCTGGAGAGAACTTACTCGCTGCCCCTCCCGTGAGCCAATGACCTCCTGTTCTACCACCCCTCCATTTATCACCACTGGCAATCAATCAAATCTGACTTGTTGTGGCAACTGGAAAAGTAATCAAGACACAGTCTTGGGTCAAGAGGGCCTCAATGTCCTTGTTTGCAATTTTGTCTTGAATGCAGCCCTAAGCCGACCTTACTGAGAATCAACCCCCATACACACAGTGTTCCCTCTAAGCTGAGTTAGTGTGAGCTAGCTCATAGTCTTTCAGCCTCCGGCTCACACATTTTTGTCTTAGCGCAGGAAGGATGGCTCCAGAGCAAACTAATTTATGCTGCAGCCCAATCGCTTGCTCACAACTTCATTGGCAGTAGTTCACAAAGTAGAATTTTTGCTCACAAGACTCCACAACTTAGAGGGAGAATACCGTACACATTTGCTAGATTACGCAGTGAGAACCGGATGAAGCAATGGGACTCCCCCATACATGAACACATGACACTTCTGAGTTAGACCACCGATCTAGCAAGGTCGGTGTTGTCCGCTCTGACTGGGAGCCAGGGTCTTGTGCAGAGGTCTTTCCGGGCAGCTGCCTTCTGATCCTTTTAACAGGCGACAGACCTGGGACCTTCGGCATGCCAAGCACATGACTTCTGTGAGCCAGGGCCCCATGACACACAGACACACAAAGCACACATTGTTTGAACAGCTTTTCCTGGGAAAAGGGCAGAATCTGGAAAAACCCCGGTCGGGTTGCCACCTTCGCTCCTGGCCAAGCTCTTGCGCTTTTACCAACTTCAAGACAGTGAGGAATTCCACCAGTTAGCTCTCCACCAGCACCACCTCTGCATGCTGGGAAACATTCCTCAATTGAACTTTGTCAACCAGTTGTTAAAACCCTACCCTGTCACAGTAACTGGCCGGGCTGGCGGTACCAGCCTCTGTGTCAAAGATCCCCTGGACTGACCCACTGCAAGCAAGTCAGAAGGAGATTCAGCCTCTCCATCCTGGAGCCTTTCCAGTTAAGCCAGTCTTCCCTCCGTGAGTGGGAGAGTGAGGAAACTTTCAGAACCCGCAACACAGAAAAGAAGGCAGGGAGGCAGGGCTGCTTTTTAAAAAAACCTTCCCGAAGGCAGAGCTGAGAGCTTTCTTTTTCCCCACTGCCACCATCTCTCTGGAAGCACAGCTATGGAAGTTCTTCAGAGCCCAGGGACTCAAAGCACTTCCTGAGAGTGCACAAGATCCAAAGCCCAGCACTCAATGCCCTCATTTAAAAGGGTCTGTGAAAGACACCCGCCCTGGGCAGCTGTTGCTAGTGGGGAGTTGGGTGCGCTGAGAAAGCAGGCCCTGATTATATGACTGAGTCTAGCAGATCCGAGGAGGAGCCCCCGTTACCGACCTTTTTCGCAGCTGCTCCAGCAGTCCAGGAGGGTGGCTCGGCTGGCTGTCAAGGCGACCCCGGAAATGAAGGCAGGCGGGGAGAGAAAAAGCATCAACTAGGGAAGCTGTCAACAGCAGAAGACTGAGATCACTCTCGCTCCGCCCCTGCTAGCTTGTCATAGGAGGAGGGCAGAGGTTAAAAAAAAAAACCAAAACAAAAAGGCAGGGCCTGCTGCCCCCTACTGGGGGAAAGTGTAGCGACACCTGGTTAATTTCAACTGGGTTCCAGAAGAGTTTGTATTTTCCAGTGGGAGGCTGACTCAGATCTCCTCGTAGGCTCCGACAAGCCGCTGTCTACGGCCCCAGGCACAGAAGGGACTCTCTGATAGGCTAGAGTTTTAAACTTGAAATAAACTGGGTTCAAACGCGTTCAGTGATCAGCTCATATTTATTAGTGATTTCAGCAGGATAGAAAAGAATGACTGAAATCCCCTGGCTGAAGCCAGGTTATATGCATGCAAAAGGTAACACCCCCACACACCCCGACTCCCAGCTATTTACAAGTCCTTATCTGTCCATTGGTCTACTCTAGGATCCCTGCTTCCCTATTGGTGTCTTTCTAGGATCCTAGCCAGCTATTGTTATGGATCTTTAGCCGAACCTGACTAACCCAATATATTACAGAACTGAAGAGCAAGCCAGGGACCCACTGCATGCAAAACAACTTGTTTTGCTCCTGAACTAGAGATCCGAGGTCCCAGGCTGCTGGCATTCTTGCAAATTCCGTAAAACAGAATTGTTCAGGAGGGCATTTATTAAAAGTAATAGGGCTGTACTGTAACGGACTGGTTCAGGAAGGCGCTTTGAGAAAGGGATTGTGGATTAGACTACTGTGTGTAGTATGCATTATCTGATTGTTGTATGTATTCTCTTGCTCTCACTGCACTGGTTTATACTTAAAAGGTAAAGGTTCCCTTGCTCGAAAGCCAGTTGTGTCCGACTCTAGGGTCGCGGTGCTCATCTCCGTTTCAAAGCCGAAGAGCCAGCGCTGTCCGAAGACGTTTCCGTGGTCATGTGGCCAGCATGACTAAACACCAAGGCGCACAGAACGCTGTTACCTTCCCACCAAAGTGGTACCTATTTATCTACTTGCAATTTCTTGCTTTCGAACTGCTAGGTTGGCAGGAGCTGGAACTAGAGACAGGAGCTCACTCCGTCATGCGGCAACTTGGGTCTCGAACTGCTGAACTACTGACCTTCCACAGCCTGCAGTTCAGCGTCTTAACCACTTGAGCCACTGCAGCTCCTCGGTTTATACTTACGTAACAACATTTTTTGCATAACTCATGCTTTCGAATTCCTGTAGTTCCTAGTCCTGTATGACCATTCCCTGCTTCCTTTTTTTTTTTTAAGCTGGACAGATCCCTTTTCTTCTTGTTTGTATGACCCCCACCCCAAATATTTAAATGTATGTGTATTCTGACCTAGCCTAGGATGCTGAGGAACCAAAAAGCCCTTATTTGGTACAGGTCTGAATACGGCACACAAATTGTTTTATTTCACTCTCTTTTTTCCCCCCATCAACAAAGGTTTATTCAAGGTTTTCAACATGTAACAATACAAGAATATAACAACAATATGATGAGAAGAGCAAAAGGAATAACAACAATCATTTGTTAACATTTTCTAAATACAAATTCTAAATACATTTATTTCACTCTCACTGGGAAATTGTCAAGTCAGACTGCCACAGAGGTTTCAGTTTTAAACTTGGCAGGTGAAAAGGCATCAGGAAAGATGGAAACTTTGTATTTGTTATTGTTGCCATCAAGTCACAGCTGATTTACGGCAATGCTGGAAGGGTTTTCAAGGCAAGAGACGTTCACAGGTGGCTTGCCATCGCCTGCCTGTGCATCACGACCTTAGACTTCCTTCGTGGTCTCCCATCCAAATACTGATCAGGGCTGACCCTGCTTAGCTTCCAAGACTGGACAAGATCAGGACTAGCCTGGACCATCCAGGCCAGGGTAAACTTTGTATAAACATGATACTAACATTGTATAACTATATACAATAGTTTGTCAGGAAAACATGGCTGTTTTGTTCTACCAAGAGGTGTTTGGAACTGTTGAGAGAAATCACTTGGCTGTCACTCCTCATATAAACCGGCACAAGCTTATTTATTTGTCACAAAATTACTGAAGTCTGTGGAGGCAGGAATACACACACAAGTTCAAGTTTTCCTTCTTTAACACTTGACAGGGATCACTGCCCCCCTTTCTAGGAGCTACATCCCTCGGGGAAGGTCCAGATTATCAAATGGAGACTGCTTGACCTTGAACTTCCAAATGTTATGTCCTGCACAATTCCACATATTTTCTCAGGCTCACTTAAATCTCCCAATTCAATATGGCCAGATGGCCCATTATCTCCACAACTTAGTTCAGCCTTCGCACCGTAGAGCCCTTTACATTATTAGCCCGTCTAAATGTTTTCCCTTCAAAAATGCTCTCGGGTCGGTTTAATAAAATCCCCCTACATGAAAGGTTATGTTCTTGTCCTTTAAAATCCGTGGATTCAATATATCGTATTATTTTTGACTGTCAATTTCACTCAGCCATACGCAAAGAATTGGTGTCATCTTTATTTCCTCCTGATTTTAGTTCTAGTAGGGGAAAAAGCTATCCAGTATCTACTAAAGGATACTAATCCTAATATTACAGCTTTAGTGGCCAAGTTTCTTGCCGAAGCTGTCAAAGTTAGATCTATTCTCATAAAGGAATGGTTCATATTGTTTATTATGTTCCTAAATATCCATACTGTGTTATTGTATATCTACGTGTCTTACTGCTATGCCATTAAAGGTATTTCAATTTATCCCTCGGGGAAGGAAGGACCACTGGTTCCACTTCCCTATTTCAGGATCCTCTTCGATCCTTCACTCTTCATAACGGTATCGGCCCTCAAGTCAACAGTAGAATTCCATGGGAACACCCTGTCAATCAAGGTTCTCAGACCGGTATAATGCATCAGCGGTTAGCTGTCTGTGGCATCCCGTTATTGGCATCCCATCATTCGGTGTCTCACCTTCTCGATTGCATTGACTTATGCTGTATAACCTGCCTTCAGTCTCCGTGACAGAGGCGGACTATAAACCACAAGAAATTTCAAAATGACAAATTTCAAAGCTGTCTTGTCTCAAGAAAGACCACTGAGTCTGTCTCGCTCTTGTTGTATTTCCACTAACTGGCAGTAGCTCTCCAGGACTGTTGTACACACCGCTTATGAAACACTTTGTACTCTGCCACTGACTGTCCGTTTAACTTAGTAGGTGCACTTAACACTTCCATGGTGCATATGTCAAGTGCCTTTGATGATTCTAATCGCAGTAACTGAAATCAATCATGAACATATATTCAGATATTCACTTTGGTTCATTGCTTAAAGGCATTCTGGGTAAAATACCAGATGCTGACAGGCAGTCACTGACTGACCTTGCTTGTTCTTGCAAATTGTAACTGTGCATGCTCCTGATGTCAGTTTGCTTGCGTTAGATGAAGAACACTGCTAGGTACTAACATTTGTTACAATTAGATACTTTTTAGAATCTCACAGAATGGGAAGAAGAAAGCCTATTGTTCAACCGAAGAAGGTATATTTTTGCCTGGGAAAACCCAACCCACAGGTTGGAACCCAATCAGAATGATGTGACGGATATGTGACAAACTTTGATGGAACCAATAATTGTGATTTATTTCGAACTGTCATAGGGGGTATAAAACCCTATGTCTCCCATTGTAACCTTAGGGAGAGCTGTGGGGTCCAAAACCTTGTTGAGCCCGTGCTTCCCTCCTTTATTAATAAAGTTTTAAAGTTTGGATTCTTCTCTACAAGACTGCCGTGTGCTTTCTCAAATTGGGCTGGGGGAGCACAACCTTTGATGGAGTTTCTGTCCCACAGTGGCAGTTCCCATACCATTATCATTCCCACTCCCTATTAATTTTCCTGCCTTACAGTGAAAACCAACTTTGGTGTAAATGGGCATGCAAATAATTGAACAGATTGCAAACGTGTCTGTTTGAGGGTGGGTGTGGGGAGAGGATCATCTGTTTTCATAAGGAAAAAGCTCGCGCTGGGCTCCAGTGCGGGGTCGGGAGGGGGGAGGGGGAGGGAAGCAGCGAGGGGCGAGCGGCTCCCCGCTCGACCCTGGCTTCAGTGCCAGGTTGGGAGGGGGGAGGGAAACAGCGAGGGGTGAGCAGCTCCCCGCTCGCCCCTGGCTTCAGTGCCGGGTTGGGGGGGCAGAGCGGCGAGGAGCCGGGGGGAGAGGCAATGGGGGGAGATCAAGGGGGGGTGGAGGACAGGGGGGAACTGGCAGGATGGGGGGGTACTTACCTCCTCCTCCTGCTTCCTCCTCTGCCTCCCCCCCCCGCGAGTATCGCGGGTCCACCCCTTGTGCTTATCTAATTCTCTTTTGAAGCCGTCCATGCTTGTAGCCGCCACCACTTCCTGTGGCAGTGAATTTGAATTCTTGTTGAGCCCGTACTTCCCTCCTTTATTAATAAAGTTTTAAAGTTTGGATTCTCCTCTACAAGACTGCCGTGTGCTTTCTCAAATTGGGCTGGGGGAGCACAACCCGTGACGGAGTTTCTGTCTTACAGGATCTCAGGCACGGAAAGGTTTTCCTCACTACCCGCTGTTTGGACTGGAGATGCCTGGAGCTTAATTGGACTGAGCCTGGGACTTTCTGCACGTAAAGCAGGTACTGTGTCCCGGATCCCCTGGCACCCCCTTAACTATCTTTCCCACTACAGAAAGCCTTTGGCCCTCTTGTGTTGCTAAATTGGCAGACAGCCGTGACGCTGCTGAGTGCTTGTCGCTGTGTCCTTATCTTGGATACCTTTGAGCTTGACATTAGGCTGTGGCCGAAGTGGAGTGACCGTTTGCATGTCATCGCTTTTGGCACCACCGGTGACAAGATGTCATAGCTTTTGGCACCACCGATGACAAGAATCACTTCTCTGTACACTCATGTGCAAAGTGTGCATCTAGATCCATCGACTGTGGAGAGCGTCATGGCGCTGACAACGCGGGCCTCAGCGCACCATAAAGTTTTGTGCCACAATAAGGGTGCCCGTCGTCAAGGTGGCGCAAGCTCTCTAGGCTGATTTACGCTACCAGACTAATAGTAAAGGTAAAGGTTTCCCTTGTTCGAAAGCCAGACAAATCCAACTCTAAGGGGTGGTGCTCATCTCCGTTTCCAAGCCGAAGAGCCAGCCCTGTCCAAAGACATTTCGGTGGCCATGTGGCCGGCATGACTAAACGCCGAGGCGCATGGAACGCTGTTACCTTCCCACCAAAGCGGTGGGTAACAGCAGCTGAGAGATTAATGATAGAGGGCAGCAGCATATGCATTTACTTAAATTTTAGTTAGCATTACATAGCAGCATTAGAGGAAGATCGGTTGTAAGCCTCAGTGGTTCAACTGTAAGGCTATTGCCTCTCACACAATCCCTTTCCAAGGCTGGGCAAACAAGGTGGTGGTGGAGGAATCGTCCTTCAAGCTCCTTTGGACTGCCTCTCCTCTTTCGGACCCTCCTGCCCCACGGAGGCTATGATCAGTGTTCCCTCTAAGCTGAGTTAGCGTGAGCTAGCTCACAGTTTTTCAGCTTCTGGCTCACCCATTTTTGTCTTAGCTCAGGAAGGAGGGCTCCAGAGCAAACTGATTTATGCGGTATCCAAATTGCTTGCTCACAACTTTAATGCCAGTAGCTCACAAAGACTCCACAGCTTAGAGGGAGCACTGGCTAGGATTCCCCATCTCATTCCCCCACCAGTCTCTCTCGTGTGGTTCGAAGAAGAAGAAGAGATTGGATTTATACCCCGCCCTTCACTACCCAAAGGTGTCTCAGAGCAGCTTACAAACTCCTTTCTCTCCCCCTCCCCACAACAGACACTGTGTGAGGTAGGTGGGGCTGAGAGAGCTCTGACACAAACTGCTCTTTTTCAAGGACAGCTGTGCCAGAGCTTGTGACTGACCCAAGGTCACATCAGCAGGTGCAAGTGGAGGAGTGGGGAATCAAACCCAGTTCTCCCAGATTAGAGTCCGCACACTTAACCACTACACCAAACTGGTTCGAGAGATACAGTGTTGAGTGTTGAGCTTGTTTCCTTACAGGTCCTTTCAAGAGGGGTGGGGTTATGGTTAAAAAGGGTGGGGCTAATTCAGAACAATAAAAGATTGGATTTATATCCCACCCTTCACTACCCAAAGGAGTCTCAGAGTGGCTTACCAGCTCCTTTCTCTTCCCCCTCCCCACAACAGACACCCTGTGAGGTATAGAGCTCTTTTGAGGACTGCTCTTGAGGGAACAGCTCTGAGTGTGGGAATGAAAAACTCCTGTGAGGCATGCCCGGCAGTTCCAGTTCTCATCGGGGGATTGGCAAGCAGTGCACAAGGTCTGCTGAGTCT